TTTGAAGCCTGCTACCCATTCCTTTCCTTTGGTGTCCTCTAGTCCTTCTGTTATGGGAACTAATGAAGAACTTTTCTGTATGCACCCTCTCCACCCAACTCCTGCTTTTAGAGACCTCTATCCTGTCCCCCCTCCGTCTCCTCTTTTCTAAGCTGAAAAGTCCCAGTCTCCTTAGCCTCTCTTCATATGGGACCTGTTCCCAACCCCTGATCATTTTAGTTGCCCTCCCCTCTCCCAGCCTCTCCCTTCCCCTCTCCCACCTCCTTTTCCTAGTCTCCCCCAGTTTTGTTCAATAAAGACAGATTCCATTATGGAAGACACGTTATCTTTATTTTGTACATCAAGAAGAGGGGCTAGGGAAGGGTAAGTGGAAGGAGGTGAGGGAGGAATGGGGCACGAGCCATCCTTAACCCCGCTTCAGGGTCCACTTAATGTGGATGCGCTAGTTCGAATTAGCAAAACACTAATTCGAATTAGTTTTTAGTTCTAGCTGCGTTAGTTCGAATTAATGCTGTAGTGTAGACATACCCCTCTTCTCTCAGCTGCCTGAGGCTGCGAGTGTTTTCCCAGGAGTGCAGGGGAAAAGCCTTAGGTGACCCTGAGTGGGGTGCAGCCCCACCCACTTTGCCTCCAGACGAACCCCAAATCTGAGCTGTAGCACAAGTGGGGGGGCACCGTGTTTCTGAGTTTACAGGGGTGCATGATGCCCCTTCCACCCTACGGCTCATCCCCTCTTGGACCCCACCCCGGCCTGCTACCTCCCTTTTCTGTCACTCCGCTTCTTGCCCCATTTCACCCCTTTCCTTGGACATATACCCCGCCGCCCCTGACTCTTTCTGCCCCCGCTCCTCATGGGCAGTTGGTGAACTGGCTGTTGGGGGAGTCTCCTCCCTTTCTGCCTGAGACGCACCCTTTCCTTTCTTGCCGATCCCCCACCAGTTCCCAGGGCACCCCAACCTCTTCCACCAGCCTCAGCATGCCCAATCCTGGAGCGCTGCGCTAGCCTGCCCAAGTCCCATGTGGCAGGTTGTCTGGTGGCACCAGCCCCAGTCTGAGGCACAAAGCCTGGGAAGGGACGGGGAGCTCAGGCCCTCCAGGGAGCAAAGAACAGAGCAGGGAATCCCCCAGGGATCCCTCTCCCATCCTGCATTTCCAGCCGCTGACAGAGGCATGGGCAGGCGGGGGCAAAAATTCAGAAATGTTTGAAGTGGCCCCGGGCCGCACTGGAGGGGGCGGGGTCTCAAGCGGAAGGGGCGGGGCCAGGATATTTCCCCCCTTCCCCACCCATAGCCCATGATTGGTCTGGGGGTGGGGGAGTGCCTTTGTTCCCCTCTCAAGAGGCTCCCTCTAGGTGCCCATGCCGCTGGTGGTGGGAGGAGACTTTGCGTGCTCCCCCTTCTGCCCCCAGGTCAATCAGGAAGCACATGAAGTCCCCTCCCGCCCTGCCAGGAGCACATGGCACTTCTAAGTGCTGCATGCTCCTTGCAGGGCAGGGGCAGGGTGGAGGAAATTCTGTGAGCTTCCCTTCTCCCAGACCCTAATTGGCCTGGGGCTGGGAGAGCGGCAGGGCCTCCGTGGGCCAGATCAACCCGCTTGGTGGGCCCGCTCTGGCCCACGGAGGCCCTTTTCCCACCCCTGGGCTAGGGACACCATTCCTGCCTAGTGTGGCTAATAAGTATTGATGGACCTAACCTCCACGAATGTATCTAGTGCTTTTCTGAACACTGGTAAAGTCCTGGTCTTCACAGTATACCTGCCTGCCACGGAGTTCCACAGTGAAGAAAAACTTCCTCCCAAGTTTGTTAGTCTTTACAGTGCTACGAGACTTGGCGTTGTTTTTATTAGAAAAGACTGGGACTTTCCAGTTTGGACAAAAAGATGATTAAGGGAGAGAGACGATAAAGGTCTAGACAATCATGACTGATGTGGGAAAACTGAATACGGAAGAGTTAATTACTCATTCAAATAAGACCAGGACTAGGAGTCACTCAATGAAATGAATAGGCAGCAGATTTTACACAAAGTATTTCTTCATGGTCAACCTGTGGAACTCTTTGCCAGAGGATGCTGTGAAGGCCTAAACTGTAACAGGGTTAAAAAAAAAAACCTAGGTAAGTTCATGGAGAATAGGGCCCTCCATGGCTATTAGCCAATGCTGGCAGAGATCCAGCACCATGTTCTGCACGTCCCTCTCCTCTGTTTGCCAGAGGCTGGGAGTGGGTGATGAGATGAAACACGCAATGATTGCCTGTTGTGCGCATTCCCTATGGGGCACCTGGCATTGGCCACTGTGGGCAGACAGGACACTGGGCTGGATGGACCTTTGGTCGGACCCCGTCTGGCTGTTCTGAGGTTCTTACCTAGAACCCAGATGCATCTGCCACAGCTGTAACCCACTAGACCCCACTGCCCTCCCTGAGCTGAAATGGGGTCTCTCCTCTCTGCAGAGTTAGTAAAAAAAAAAAAAAAAAGTAAGAAAATATATGAAAATGTTAAACCACCCAGGGTATGGCTACACTGCCACCCTAGTTCGAGCGAGGGTAGCTAATGTAGGCATTCGAACTTGCAAATGAAGCCTGGGATATTTCAATCCCAGGCTTCATTTGCAACTCTGGTTGCCTACATTACCACCCTAGTTCGAACTAGGGTGGTTGTGTAGACATACCCAGACATACATGTTAGCAGACAAATATTAGACCCATTCAGCTATAATGTGTTCTGACATCTTGTGGCAAGTCCTTTATGGGACACTGGGGGTATGGCTACACTGCCCCCCTAGTTCGAGCGAGGGTAGCTAATGTAGGCATTCGAACTTGCAAATGAAGCCTGGGATATTTCAATCCCAGGCTTCATTTGCAACTCTGGTTGCCTACATTACCACCCTAGTTCGAACTAGGGTGGTTGTGTAGACATACCCAGACATACATGTTAGCAGACAAATATTAGACCCATTCAGCTATAATGTGTTCTGACATCTTGTGGCAAGTCCTTTATGGGACACTGGGGGTATGGCTACACTGCCCCCCTAGTTCGAGCGAGGGTAGCTAATGTAGGCATTCGAACTTGCAAATGAAGCCCGGGATTGAAATATCCCAGGCTTCATTTGCAAGTTCGAATGCCTACATTAGCTACCCTCGCTCGAACTAGGGGGGCAGTGTAGCCATACCCCCAGTGTCCCATAAAGGACTTGCCACAAGATGTCAGAACACATTATAGCTGAATGGGTCTAATATTTGTCTGCTAACATGTATGTCTGGGTATGTCTACACAACCACCCTAGTTCGAACTAGGCTGGGAATGTAGGCAACCGGAGTTGCAAATGAAGCCTGGGATTTGAATTTCCCGGGCTTCATTTGTATCTTGCCGGGCGCCGCCATTTTTAAATGTCCGCTAGTGCAGACTCCGTGCCGCGCGGCTACACGCAGCATGGACTAGGTAGTTCAGACTAGGCTTCCTATTCCAAACTACCTAGTCCGTGCCGCGTGTAGCCGCGCGGCACGGAGTCCGCACTAGCAGACATTTAAAAATGGCGGCGCCCGGCAAGATGCAAATGAAGCCCGGGATTGAAATATCCCAGGCTTCATTTGCAACTCCGGTTGCCTACATTACCACCCTAGTTCGAACTAGGGTGGTAGTGTAGACATACCCTAAGAGAGTTGTCTGGCCATCCAGCCGCCTGTTCAAAAAATCCTCCGAAGTGGCACTAGTTAGGTCCATCACATTCAGCAGACAGCTTCTTCTTACCATAACTTAAAGCAACGTAAGGGGCTGGTTGGGCCAGGACCATGGGTTGTGCCTGGAATGGGATTGCATCTCATAAAACCAAACAGAAAAGAGACAGGAGCACCAGGCTGGTGAAAGGAGCTGGCTGGGGACGTGTCCCCCTCCTGGTCCGCTCCAGTCCTGAGTCCTCGACCTCCCAAGGCGCCCTGGAGGGAGGGGGAAGGTATCTGATGCCGCCCCCCCCCCCGTGTACCTACACAGACATTACAGACCGTTCCCCTTCATCAGGGAGCGAGGGGAAAGGGCAGTTTGCTGAATTCCTCACTTTGCTTGGGCAGCGCAGGGGTCAGACAACCCAGGACCTGCCCCAGCCCGTCTCCCCAAGCTGTGCCCGCTGGAGCTGCGGTGGCCATGGAGAGGTTCTTTTCACCTGGCCACAAGCTGTTGTGGTGAGAGAGGGCTGGGGGCGTCCTCTCTCCTTGGAGCAGCCGTCATACGGGACCCCTCCTCCCCAGCCCCGCCCCAGAGCAACGATTCAAATAAAGCACGTTCCATTTTCCTTTCATTTTCCAAACGATAATGAACTGAGTTAAGGACGCTCGCAATGCTGAGTAAATCTTCTCTTTCTTTTATATAGGAACGAGACACAATGCTCCAGTCAGCCAACTGCTAAATTATCAGCCAGAAAATTAGAGATGTCAAGTGCCTAAGTAGCCCCTGGAATCATGGTTAAAGTGGCCCCCACATTAAAATCTGAAATGGCGCCACTGACCCAGCTGCCTGGGGAACTAACTGCACCCAGAGAATCTCCGTTGGCCCCTTCTCCTTAGGGGAGCCTGTCACGGGGAGGCCCGACCTCCTCAGGGACCCTGCTGCCCTGTGACCACCCTGTGGCCTGTCTGAAAACTGTTTTCATGCCCCCATCAACCTTCTGTTCTCCTGACTACACACGCCCAGAGGCAGCTTGCCATTTTGGCTACTGCCCATTAGAGTCGCTCCCATTTTCCACATCTTTTCTTAAAGTGCGGGGTGGGAAGCAGGACTCGGTGCTCCAGCTGAGCCCTCCCCAGGACCAAGGAAAGTGGGTCAGGAACCGTCCATGTCTTACGTGCAACGCTGCCCTGACTACATCCCCGAGTCACATTGGTCCTCTTCAAACAGCATCCCACTGTCGGCTCAGATTCAATCTGCGATCTACTATAACCTAAGATGCTTCTCTGCCGGGCTACTGCCTCACCTGCCCTTCCTCATTGTGTCGTTGGGCATTTTCTTTCCTGGACCAGTACCTTGCACTCGTGTTGAGTGAATGTCACCTTTTAGATTTCAGGACAATTCTCCACAATATCAAGATCATTCTTATCCTTACTCCCAATGTTCTTACAACCCATCCCGTCTTGGTTTCACCTGTACATTTGATAACCGTAGCCTGTGCTCCATCATCCTATCCATTAATGAAAATATAGAATTGTACCCCACACAGGACAGACCCCTATGAGGACCTTTAGAAATAGTCTCTCAATTTGACCGTCAACTGTCGATAACTACTCCCTGCATGTTTTGAATCCACCTGATAGTAATTTCATCTAGACAATCCTTCTCTCATTTGCTTATGAGAAGACTGTCATGTGGGATTCTGTCAAAAGCCTTTCTAACACCAAGACCTACCACATCTACTCCCCCACCCATTAGACCAGATGGATGTCAAAAGAAGAACATGTGATAGGTATGGCATGAGTTGTTCTACACAAATCCACAAGAGCTATGACATATTACTTTGCTAACCCCAAGCTGCTTTTAAAGAGAGAACTTATTCTAGTGTCTTCTGAAGTATTAGGCTGATTGGCCTAGAATTTGCCACTTTTTGTCCCCCATTTTCAAAGACAGGTACAATGTCAGATAGTCTCTAGTCCTCTGGGTCTGCATCCATCCTTTGTGAGTTCTCTAGAAAATTGTTCATAGTTCTTAGGTTGGCTCAGCTATTTCCTTAAGTACCGTGGGGTGAATTTCACCAGGCACTGTGCATTTGAATACATCAAATTCGTTTTGTCGTCTTGATGTCTTCTCTTTTCTTTAGCTGCGGGACCATCACCGACCCCAGTCCCGGATCCCTCAACAGCATCTGCTGCAACGGGCTGGAGGGACACTTCGTCACCATCGTCATCCCGGGCAGGATGGAGCAGCTCACCCTGTGTGAGGTCGAGGTTCTCTCTCAGAGCTGTGCCCCACCGCCAGGGGGTGAGGAGCTGGCACAGTGTGAATGGAGACCTGTTCCATTTTATATTATACCCCAGTGCCCGCAATGCCAGCCTCTGCTTAGTGAGGCAGCAGAAACCCTGGGAGACTCTTCTCTTCCCACTGCTCCCCTGGGCGTGGGCTGCAGCTGGCAGGGACAGGCGGGGGTAGAGGCTCCATGTGAACATCGTGCCCCATCCCTGTGTTGAGCAGCTCCAGTGGGGTGTGGGACGTGGTGGCTGAGAGAGACACTCTCTGGGCTGAGACCCCAGCACCAGCCCTCTGTCACTCATGTCTTCGGGGCCCTGGCTCCCACTGTGGACCTGGCTTTATTGCAGTGCCTGGTTTGTGTGTTACCACTGGCATCCGGCAGTGAGTCCATGTGGGAGAAGGGGCTTTTACAGCTCCGTCTCTTCTCAGCAATGGGCACGTCAGACCTCCCCTCTTCTTGCTTTTTGATTCCAGCTCAGAACTTGGCTCTTGGATGTCCGGCCATTCAGTCATCCACATTCGAGGACTGGACTGACAGATCTGAGGCTGGAAAGGCCGTGGATGGTAAACGTAGTGGGCTGTGGGAACAAGGATCCTGCAGCCAAACTGAACTGGACATAGAGCCGTGGTGGACCGTGGACTTGGGCAGCCGGCATTCCGTCTCCGTGGTGATCGTGAAGCACTTGGAAGAGGAGTGCTGTGGGGAGAGACTGAAGGGGGCCCAGATCCACGTGGGAGACTCCCTAGTGAACCATGGCAAGGACAACCCCATGTGAGTTGCCTCCCCATTATCTGCAGCGAGATGAGTCCTGCCAACTCAGGCACAGGGGTGGGTCTCCTTGCCAGACGGGTTTATTGCGTGTCCTCTTTTTCTCCGAGCTGCCTGAGGCTACAAGTGCTTTGCTGGTAATGCAGAGGCATAGCTATGGGGTGGGGGGGGGGCTTGAATGGGATACAGGCCCACCCACTTGATGTCCAAACTAAATCTGACTTGTAGGGCCAGAGAGGCAACCCAAGAAACTATAGACCAGTCAGCTCAACTTCTGTGCCAGGAAAAGTAATGGAGCAAATGGTTAAGGAATTAATCTGCAAACATCTGGAAGATAAGAAGGTGATAGGTAACGGCCAGCATGGATTTGTAAAGAACAAATCATGTCAAACCAAGCTGGTAGCGTTCTTTGATGGGATAACAAGCCTTGTAGATATGGAGGAAGGGGAAGACATGGTATACCTAGACTTTAGTAAGGCTTTTGGTAGAGTCTGGCATGACTGTCTTTCAAATCAACAAGGGAAATACAATCTAGACAGGGCTGCTGTAAAGTGGGTGCATAACTGAACGGATACCCATTCTCAGTGAGTAGTTATCAATGGTTCACAGTCATGCTGGAAGAGCATAATGAGTGGGGTTCCTCAGGGATCAGTTGTGGGACTAGTTCTGTTCAATATCTTCATCAATGATTTAGATAATGGCCTAGGGAGTACGCTTAAGAAGTCTGCACATGACACCAAACCAGGTGGGGTTGCAAGTGCTCTGGAGAATAGGGTCATAATTCTAAAAGACCTGGACAAACCGGAGAAATGGTCTGATGTAAATTGGATGAAGTTTAATAAAGAGAAATGCAAAGATCTCCAATTAGGGAGGAACATATAGAATGGGAAATAACTGTCTAGGAGGGAGTGTAGCAGAAAGGCAACTAAGGGTCGTAGTGGACCACAAACTACATATGAGTCAACACCGTGACACTGTTGCAAAAAAAAGCCAACCTGATTCTGGGATGCATTCACAGGAGCAAGACACAAGAACTAATTATTTTGCTCTACTCTGCATTGATTAGACCTCAGTTGGAGTATTGTGTCTAGTTCTGGGAACTGAATTTCAAGAAAGATGTGGAAAAATTGGAGAAGGTCCAGAGAAGAGCAACAGAAATGATGAAAGGTCTAGAAAACATGAGCTATGAGGGAAGACTGAAGGAACTGGGCTTGTTTAGTTTGGAAAAGATGGGACATGATCACAGCTATTCAGTACCTAAAAGTGTGTCATAAGGAAAAGGGAGAAAACGTGTTCCCCTTGGCCTCTGAGGACAGGACAAGAAGCAACGGGCTTCAACTTCATTGAGGGAGGTTTAGGTTGGGGGAGAGGCTGCAGGGGGCCCAGATCCACGTGGGAGTCTCCCTGGTGAACCAGGACAAGAGCAACCCCCTGTCAGTTGTTCCCCATTCTCCAGCATGACACAAGTCGTCCTATCTCAAGCCCAGAGGTTGGGTCTCACTGCCAGTCGGGGATACTGCGCGACCTCTTCCCCTGGCAGCTGACTAAAGTTGTGTGTGTTTTGCCAGTGGTGCAGGGGCATGAGCTGGGATGTCTCCCAGGCTTCCTTGGAAGCCTGGGAGGGATCTTCAGGTGAGTGATCTCACTTTGTCACACACACATGGTGGGGGCAGGGAGGGAGTGTTGCTTGGGCTGGACGTTGTGCTGTAGTCCGTGCACATGCAACCACACGTGAGTTCTCTATAATAACACAAATAGCTCTGAGCCTGGCTCAGCCAGTTCCTTCGGTTCTGTCGGGTGAATTTCACCAGGCGCTGTGCATTTGACTACATCACATTTGTTTTGTCTTCTTGACGTCTGCTCTTTTGTTTAGTTGTGGGACCATCACCAACACCGTTCCCGGATCCCTCAGCACCGTCTGCTGCAATGGCTGGCAGGGCCGCTACGTCACCATCACCATCCCGGGCAGGGCGGAGCATCTCACCCTGTGTGAGGTCGAGGTTCTGTCTCAGAGCTGTGCCCCACCGCCAGGGGGTAAGGAGCCGGCACAACGGGAATGGAGACCTGTTCCCTTTCATGTTTCACCCCAGTCCCTTGTGCCCCAGCCTCTGCCTAGTGGGAGACTTTTCCCTTCCCTCTGCTCTCCTGGGCGTGGCTGCAGCTGGCAGGGGCGTGTGAGGAGGCTCCATGTGACCATCGTGCCCCATCCCTAGCTGGGGGAGCTGCTCCAGTTGGGTACGAGAGATGGTGGCCTGAGAGAGGCTCTGTTTGGGTTGAGACCCCAACACCAACATACTCTCACTCCTAGTTCCTATTGTGACCCTGGCTCTCCTGCGGTGCCTGGTTAGTGTGTACCCTGGCTCCATGTGGAGAAAGGGCTTCTAGAGGCGTCTCACCCTGCACCCGTGGCCCATACCACTTCCTGTCTTCTCGCCCTCTGATTCCAGCTCAGAACTTGGCGTTGGGACGTCTGGCCAATCAGTCGTCCACCTTCGAGGATGAGACCGGAAAAGCCGTGGCTGGAAGGGCTGTGGATGGGAAACATGATGGGAAGTTTGAACAAGGCTCCTGCAGCCTCACCAAGCTGGACATAGAGCCGTGGTGGATCGTGGACTTGGGCAGGCGGCATTCCATCTCCATGGTGATCGTGAAGCACAGGGAAGACAAGTGCTGTGGGGAGAGGCTGCAGGGGGCCCAGATCCGCGTGGGAGTCTCCCGGATGAACCACGGCAAACACAACCCTCTGTGAGTTGTTCCCCATTCAAGCCCAGAGGCTGGGTCTGCCCTATCAGCTGACTAAAGTTGTGTGTGTTTTGCCAGTGGTGCAGGGGCATAGCCGCAGGTGGGTCCGGGTGGGGGGCTGCCCCACCTACTTGGCCTGCCTGAGCTGTAGCACAAGTGGGGTGGCACCGTCCTTCTGAGTTGCTGGGGGCGCATGAGTCTTGCTCTGCCCCAGGGATTGTCGCCGCGTCCCCCCGCAACCTGCCTCTTTGCACCCCTGCCCTGGTATTTCCCGCCCCATTCCACCCTCTTCCATGGATATCTCCCTCCTTGCCTCTGCCTCTTTGTACATCCGCACTGCCTCATGGGCAGGGGCACTGGCTGTTGGGGAGACCACCCCCAGCTCCTCCCTTTCTGCCTGAGATCCTGCCCCCCCCTTTTGTGTCACTCCCCCA